CTTCTACATCGGTCCGGCATGACCTCGTAAACTGTCCAGACCTTATCTGCTACAACGGTCCAACACGACCATACAGTGTCTTCTCCAACAGTGTGACACGACCATACCGTGTCTTTAACAACGATCTGACACGACCATACAGTGTCTCCTATCCTATTTTATTTTCTTTTCTTTTTCTATTTTTTTACTCTCTCCAAACTCACGTTGGTTAATTTTTATCCTCCTCAAGTTTGAGGGGGGCTGTTAGTGTATATTAGTGCTAGTAATGATGTTAATAGGTTAGTACTTGTCTTTATTATACATTACTTTAAGTTAGTGTTCGGCTACTTTCGGCCACTTTCCTATTCAGGTTTGTAATCCTCTCCTATATAAGGAGCTTCTAACATTGTTAAAGACATAACATATATAACATCAATATATACACAATTTATTCTCTCTCTTTCTTTATACATTAATTCTAATAGTTGTTTTTGGTACATCACGTAAGTATATATTTTATCAATTATAATTCATCATGTATTATATTTTTTAATTACTTAATACAAATGTATAAATTTCACTCCTTTATCAAATACAACTTTATTAAAAAATCACGTGACAATACTTCAAAACTACCAAATAACTTATCCTTCCCAACCCTTAGTCAAAAGTAAAAAAATAACATATGTGTTTTAAAGTAGAAAATTAATATTGATACCATGAAAATTTGAGGTTATTTTCTAATGTAGCAAATTGCATAGAAAAAGCAAAAAGAAAAGCTAATTACACCGTTAATTCCTTAATTATTATTGAATAAGCATTATTTTATCATCAATTTTAAAATTGTATATTTAGAATTTTTTTTTTTATCAGCTTTAAAAGAAATTGTCAAATGTGCATAGTTTCTTTTTAGGATTTTGGCCTCTATGGTACACGAATGAAAATAAAAATTAAAAATTAAAAAACACGCAAAATAAGAAGAAAAAAAACACTAATAGCATTTACCTTCAATTGTCTGGCCAAAAAAACAGACTGGGCAACATGGATTTTAGGATGATCTTTGAAGAAAGAGGGTAATGAAATCTGAACTAGATTTGAATAATAATGCTCTACAAACACCAACAACTAGATTTGCAAAGCTGCTGATAGTTGGAGTTGGTAAAATCAGCATATCTTAAGAAGACAAAAGCAAGGTGTCAAAATACATAAAACTCACTCATTTAATTACAAACCATGGTTCTAAATTTTGTAATAATGTGACTAAAACTTGTTTGTTGGCAAAAAAAATCAAATAAAATAAAATTTAAAACGATTTTTTTTTTTTTGGTTACAGAATCCTCCTCCAAAAACCCATTAAAAGAAAAGGAGAATAACATAACATCCACCACTTCACAGTGGCAATGTTTAAGAATTGACATAGGTTTGAATTTGATGAAAGTACATAATCACCCAACAATTCATACATAAACACAAGTACTCATTTGTTCTTTATGTAGTTGAAAATGTTTCGTAGTGGAGATCACGGGAGTGTCATGTATATGTACTTTTTTTTTTACATTATCATTGGGATTTCATGCATGGCTTGTTTTTAGAATCTAACTAGTCACGGTATGAAAAATTATTAGATATTTTTAAAATATAACGTATATTATTTCCGTGATATCTTTGATCAGCAAGTAACAATAACACACCTCTCAAGTGAGTTATTTTTCATCTCTAAATTACTTAACAAAGGTTAGTCAGCATAATTTATTCGTAAAATTTCTTACTTTGATTTGGATTATCATATAAATAATATCACATAGTAGTTTGAGACTATTGAATAATTATTCTTGCGATAGAGATAATGATAATTTATTTATTTATTATTTTTACAAATATACACTATAACCTGTTAATTCCCCATAATTAAAAAGACATGAAGAACAGTTTGGGTTGTTCATGTGGAGGGTGAGTGGTGTTCGTTTATGCACCATTGCAATTGACAATCATTTCCGTACTTATTTGGCAAATGCATTTGAAGCTTGCATGTACCTCTTTTTTTTTTGCCAGACTTGAGTCTATGCATTATAAGCTAACATATCAAATTGTTATACCCCCACAGTGGTCTGTGTAAATTGTTAGACAATTTTTACTGTATTAAAAACAAATAATTCTTATATACTTAACAACAAACAGAAGAAATAAAGAAGAAAAGAGACTGTCTGATTACAAAATCAAACCAATAAAGAAAATAAAATAAAATAAAATAATAGATTCTTATTTTGTACAAAAACAAAATCAGAATCTGATAAAAATAAATAAAAACATAAAGTAAATTAATTACTAACCTTATATATTTATTGAACAAAATTCTGATTAAGTCCAGTGTTTAACACTGTGTCTTTAAGACAGATTCGTCCTCTCCACGGTTCTTTCAAATTGTGGATGTCTATCTCCCAGGATAAAATGATCAACAACAAACAGTAGCAGCACTACAAACTGTTTGCACACTGAACACACTTTGTGTTTATATACTTTCTCACAAAAAAATAAATGCAGCAATATACGGAAAGCAATGACAGCAACAAAAATGAAAATTAGAGTGCAAAATCCAAATGAGGATCTGTCTATTTATAGGAGAATTTGTACCTGTTCAGTTTGAATGAACAGGTAAGGAACCTGTTGGGTTTAAATTTCGAATAGATACTGAATCTGTTTGATATGGACCTGTATTGGGCCAGACAAGCCCAACTCAACCTCACACCACACACCCGCCCCGTGTGTATTGGGCCGGACAGGCGGCGGTGGCGCGTGTGTGTTTATTTTGGGTCCAATAGGTCTAGCCCACTTTGCCCATAACCTCACCATTTCACAAAACTTGGGTATCCCTTGGGGCCCTCCCCAAGTTGCAAATCCAAGCTTTATAAACTCACAAAAGTTTGTCCACCAAACCAATGTGAGACAAGTTTTAACTCAAACGTTAATGAAAATTTCACCAATACACCATTTTCATGGAGCTCACTTTGGCCTCACTTTGGCTTCAATTTTTCACTCACCCGATAATGGTTTTGAGCAATCAAATATACTACGTGAATCACAACGCGACATAGAATACGTTACCATTTAGACCCGCCAACTTTGGTGCATGGGTCCCACCTAAAAAATAAACCAAAGTTGAGGAAAAATTTGTTTTTCCAAAACTATTTCTTACAATCCTCTACATGAATGGAATTTGAAGTGTCACGACTCAAACCCGGTGCCCAAAGGCTTAGTGTCGCAACAAGATAAGAATAAAATAATTCTAATAATTTTGTAGTCATAGAACAAGCGGATAAATTAAATAAATTAAAATAAAATAATTGGGTGCCAAATGTTTATTAAAAGGAAACAAACATAGTCCATTGGGTTTTTATTTTATTCCAAGTGTCCAATTAGAAATATAGATAGTACAAAAAAAAGAAAATACTGTGGTTTATCCCCCATCTTGATCTTGCTAAGTCTCGTCACTTGAAAGGGGTAACAACTATAAACACATGATAGAGTGAGAAATATTATACTATGAGCATATGGGTACAAAATAGCCATGGATAGTTATTTAAGTTAAAACATTAACATAATTTAAGTTACATAAATAAATTATTTAAGTGGCAGAAACTGAAATAAAAATTACGTAAATAGCTATAACCACGATACAGAACAGAACAGAACAGAACAGGAGTCACTGGAGTGACAATCAGAACAGGGGTCAATGGATCTATGACAAACAAAGGCTCACAAAATGGCCAAACAGAGACCAATAGTTTATTTAGGTCCCTCAAGGCGTGAGACTCCCGTGGTGGTATTTACAGAACATAATTGTTTATAAAATCTTTGTCAAATAATTTCTAAAATTCAAACAAACATATCTATGGGTTTCAATTTAAGCAAATAAAGTTCAGAAAATAATTCACGTAATTGAAACATTAACATATCCATGAAACATAAATTATATAAAATAAATTGTAGTAACTCAAAACATTCGTAAAATATATTATAATAACTCAAAACATATAAAAAAACATATTATGATAACTCAAAATATAATACAACAAATTATTTAAGTGGCAGAAACTGAAATAAAAATTACGTAAATAGCTATAACCACGATACAGAACAGAACAGAACAGAACAGGAGTCACTGGAGTGACAATCAGAACAGGGGTCAATGGATCTATGACAAACAAAGGCTCACAAAGTGGCCAAACAGAGACCAATAGTTTATTTAGGTCCCTCAAGGCGTGAGACTCCCGTGGTGGTATTTACAGAACATAATTGTTTATAAAATCTTTGTCAAATAATTTCTAAAATTTAAACAAACATATCTATGAGTTTCAATTTAAGCAAATAAAGTTCAGAAAATAATTCACGTAATTAAAACATTAACATATCCATGAAACATAAATTATATAAAATAAATTGTGATAACTCAAAACATTCGTAAAATATATTATGATAACTCAAAACATATAAAAAACATATTATAATAACTCAAAATATAATACAACTCACCTTAATATTAGCTCCTACCATATATTCCTTCCGCACTCCTTACTTTTATTTACTATTTCACTTTTCTTTTCTCCCGTTTTGTCTTGCCAAGGCCTCTACTCCTTATATACCGGCCCATAGAAGCTAATTCACCACCCTATGAAGCTATTCATCCCCTATAGGCTCCATTACTTGGCCTTTTTAGCCTCCCACGTGGCTTGCTTTAACCAAAGTCATTCCATGCCTAATGACAACTTAACTTCCTGTGTAGCCAACACATCTAAACTTTAGTCTATTTCTACCTTAGCCTACATAATTTATTAATTTTATGGTTAGGTTTTGTTTGGTCTAGGAAAATATTTTAATCACCATACTATACCATGCTTGTAATATTTTTGCAAATATAATTATAAAATCATATATTTTTATTTTATTTAACTTTCTATTTATTTATTTACTTACTTTTTTTTTAAAATTAATTAAACAATTAGGGTGCCACATTTCTCCTCTCCCTAAAACAAGTTTGTCCCTAAACTTGATGTACCTTGGTTTTCGAAGAGGTGTGGGTATTTGGCTCGCATTTGACTTTCATTTTCCCATGTTGCTTCTTCGATACGATGGTTTCTCCATAAGACTTTTACAAGAGGTATAGTCTTATTTTGAAGGACTTGATCACGATGATCGAGAATCTGCACAAGCTGTTCTTCATAAGAGAGGTCTTCTTGAACCTCCAAGTTCTCATAATCGACAACATGCCCTGGATCTTGAAGGTATTGACGAAGCATCGAAACGTGAAACACATTGTGGACATTGGACAGTTCGGGTGGAAGCTCAAGGCGATATGTCACAGGGCTAATCCTTTCGAGTATCTCGAATGGATCGATGTAACGTGGGTTTAACTTTCCTTGCTTTCCAAATCGAATAACCCCTTTTGTTGGTGAGATCTTTAGGGACGCATGATCTCTTATTTGAAATTCTAAGAGTCCCGTCTTCATGTATTAGTATAGCTTTTCTGGTGGCTCTGAGCAGTACGAATTCACTATTGGATGAGTTGAATTTTATCATTTGTAATTTGCACGATTTCGGGTCCTAGCAGTTTCCTGTCTCCGACTTCCATCCAACACAGAGGTGATCGGCATCGTCTTCCACACAGTGCTTCGTATGGTGCCATTCTGATGCTTGTATGATAGCTATTATTATAAGCGAACTCTGCCAAAGGTAGGTGATCATCCCAATTACCTTTGAGGTCTAGCACAAACACACGTAACATATCTTCCAAAGTCTGGATTGTTCTTTCGGATTGCCTATCAGTTTGCGGGTGATAAGTCATACTAAACTTTAAAGTGGTTCCCAAAGCTTCTTGCAATTTGTTCTAGAAGTGAGACACAAAATGGGGGTCTTTATCGGATACAATTGAAACTAGAGTACCATGCAAACGAATGATTTCCTTAATGTATAGAGTGGCGAATTTAGACAGGGAGTACATAATTTTGATTGGTAGAAAATGCGCCGACTTCGTCAATCGATCTATAATAACCCATATTGCATCATTCTTCGAGACTGATTGCGGTAGCTCGACCACGAAGTCCATAGTAATGTACTCCCATTTCCATTCAGGAATATGGAGTGGTTACAACATTCCTGCAGGCCTCTGGTGTTTTGCTTTAACCCGTTGACAAAGCAGGCATTTGGAGACGTGGCTTACTATGTCTTTCTTCATTTCTGTTCACCAATAGCGTTCCTTCAGATCGTGATACATCTCCGTATTGCTAGGGTAAATCGCAAACCTTGAGTAATGAGCTTTTACCAATATCTTTTTCTTGAGTTCTGGAAGGTCGGGTATACAAATTCGATTATGAAATTTTAGCATCTCATTGCTCATCGTAAAGTCAGGATCGGGCATGCTTTTTTGCTCCTCGTACTTTTTCTTCAAAAGTTTGTCTTCACATTGGCGGACTCTGATTTCTTCAATCAACTTGGGTTCCATAATTATGTTGGCGAACAGCCCATTGATCTTGCAGAGAACGAGGGTACGTGCCAAACTTTTGGTCGTCTTTCAACTCAATGCGTTTACTACTACATTAGCTTTGCCGGGGTTGTGATGGATTTCTATATCATAGTCCTTCATAAATTCCAGCCATCATAGTTGCCTCATATTCAATTCCTTCTGTGTAAACAGATATTTGAGACTCTTGTAATTTGTGTAAATTTTGGAGGTTACTCCAAAGAGATAATGACGTTAGATTTTGAGGGCAAAGATTACTGCGGCTAATTCCAGATCGTGGGTCGGATAGTTCTTCTCGTGGGTTTTTAGTTGACGTGAGGCATATGCAATGACCTTCCCATTTTGCATAGAACGCAACCCAAACCATTGAATGAGGCATCACTATAGATTACGAACCCTTCTGTTTCAGCGGGAAGTGCTAATATAGAAACCGTCACGAGTCTGTTCTTCAATTCTTGGAAGCAACGTTCCTGCTTGTCGGTCCATTCAAAGGGTGCGTTTTTCTGAGTTAGCTAGGTCAAGGGTGATGCTATCTTCGAAAAATCTTGCACGAAATGCCGGTAATAGCCGGCTAGACCCAAGAAGCTTCGAATCTCGAACACGTTAGTGGGTCGTGGCCAATCCACAATTGCTGTAACCTTTTGGGGATCAACTAAGATGCCGTCTTTGTTAATGACGTGACCGCGAAAGTGTACACTGGTGATTCAAAATTCGTATTTCTTCAACATGGCATAGAGTTTGTGATCACATAGTGTCTGTAGAACTTTTCACAAGTGGTGTTCATGATCTTTTGGCGTTTTGGAGTATATAAGAACGTCGTCAATGAAGATAATGACAAACTCGTCAAGATAGGGTTTGAATACTCGATTCATGAGGTCCATGAAGGCCGTTGGAGCATTTGTGATGCCAAATGACATGACGAGAAACTCGTAGTACCTATAACGAGTTCTGAAAGCAGTCTTTTTGATGCTTTTCGTTTTGACTTTTAGTTGATGGTAGCTAGAACGTAAGTCAATTTTTAAGAATACTTGAGCGCCTTGCAGTTGATCAAACAAGTCGTCAATTCGTAGCAAATGGTATCAATTTTTAATGGTGACTTTGTTTAGTTCACGGTAATCGATGCATAACCTCATCGTGCTATCCTTTTTCTTTACGAATAATACTGGAGCTCCCCATGGTAAGGTATGTGGTCGAATGAAACCTTTGTCCAATAGTTCCTGGAGTTGAGTCTTCAGCTTTTTTAATTCTGTCATGGACATGCGGTAAGGGGCTTTTGAGATTGGTTGTGTACCAGGTTGGGTTTCAATGGTAAATTCGATTTCTCAGTCGACCGGGGTGCTAAGTAAGTCTTCAGGAAATTCATCTGGGAATTCTCGAACCACAGGGATTGCATCAAGTGTGGGGGCCTCTTGTTGAGTATTGATCACACAATAGATATAATTACAACAACCTTTTCTTAGAAGTCGTTGGGCTGTCATGAAGGATATAACACATGGAGGGGGAGAGACTCCAGTTCCTTCGAAGACAAGCTCGAGTTGGTTTGGTGACTGGGGGAAGACCTTTTTGGCTTCACAATCAATAGAGGCGTGGTTGGCAGCTAACCAATCCATTCCTAAGATCACATCAAAGGTACTAATGCAGAGGGGAATCAAGTCTACATGTAAAGTTTCCCTTTTTAAGAATACAGTACAAGATTTGTACACATCAGCACTAAGGGCGGAGTTTCCAGAAAGAAAAGACACATATAGTATGTATCCTAAGGGTTCGGGTGTTGACGCCAACTTGGTAACAAAGTGTGGTGTAACAAAAGAATGAGTTGAACCAGAGTCAAAGATAACATGGGCTAAGTGACCACAAACAGAAAGTTTACCTGACACAACATTCACAATAACTTCAGGGTTTCCAGGTACCAGGGCAAAGTCTCTTCTTGGCGTTTTTGGTCATTCCTCACTCCTCCAAGTATCGCGGGTTTTTGGACTGGTTCAGAGGGGCTGGCTATAGAACTGGCAAGCTTGGGACAATCTCTCAGCAAGTGGCCAACTTGGCAATGGCCGCATCTAAAGCATGCTCCCATGTCTCGACGGCATTGTTCCCAATAAGTTTTTCCACAGGTAAAGCAAGTTGGAATGACGCCACCTCTGGGATTCGTAGGACCTTGATTGCTTGAACTAGTTGTGCCTGTATTTACCCTTTTAGGAGGCGCGACACCGGGTCTTCTATTATCTCTTTCCCAAAATCACTTCATTTGGCTTGGTTCCCCGGAGTGCAAGGCTTTAATCCCTTTTTCCGCAATGTATGCTTGATCTACCACCGCCGCATAAGTTGTTAGTTTCAAAACCTCCAGCTTGTCCTTGATTTTAGCATCCAATCCTGTTTAAAATTTCCTGAATATTCGAGCTTCGGTAGGGATGACGTATGTCACAAATTGAGCCAGTTGTGTGAACTTGCTCTCGTATTCGGCCACTATCATGGTTCCTTGCCTTAGATGTATGAATTCTGACGCTTTTTATTCCTGCAGCAAATCTGGAAAGTATTTTCATAGAATACCTCTAAGAATCTGGTCCAAGTCACAATATCTTCTTTCTGCAGGGTAAGTAGCCACCATTTTTGTGCATCGTCTTTGAAAGTGAATGTGGCGAAAGTCACTTTTTGCCTTTCTGTGCAAGGTAGTGCGCAAAAAATTTCTTCATATCTCTGACCTAAGCTTTTGCTACTAGTGGGTTTGTACTGCCATTGAATATGGTAGGTTTCAAGTCCTGGAACTGTTTTATTGTAGTTGGTTTTTCTCATCGTTCAGGCAATCCGCTATTAATGTTGGTTTGTAGGGCTCGCAGAAAACTAGTAACTGCTCTTTCCAAGATTTGCTCCATTGGATCAGTACCACTGACCAATGATCTGGTTCCATTTCTATCATTAGCCATTACTACAAGGTGAAAACGGTTAGTGAACTCCCATTCTTTTCTTTTGAACCATTTAGTATACATTTAATTATCTATAATTCACAAGATACTATAACAGTTCAAGTTACTATAACAGTGCATATATCATTTTTACTTATGCAAAAGAAAACATATTACTATAACGTACTTAAAATACAATCAAGAATTAGTGTCTTATCTTATTAATACAAAAACAAAAGGATTAGACTAGTCATTGTGAGCTCCCAAGAAAAAAAAAAAAGATCGGCAACATCTCTCGGTCATGCTCCTAGAATAGGTCACTAAGCCCCCACAAAAACTGGCTCTGGAAGACTGGGCCATGGAACAGCTATAGGAACTCCTGCTGCACGAGGGACTCAAACTCCCATCCACTGAGCTCAATCCCAAAACAGGGCCAAATTACCTGGACCATGTAGGTTGGTACACCGTGGTCATATCCCCAAAACTGCCGCCCAGTGAGCTGTACAGGTATCTCTAAGTATGTAGTACTGTTAGTGTAGTCCACAGTTGGGGTCTAGACAATGTGCTGTGGAGGAGGTGTAGTAGTGCGAATGTGACTGCTAGGGTATCGGCCCAATGTATGGGAGCAACCAAGAAATGCCTAGGGGTAAGGGAGCAACCAAGAAATGCAGATGTGCCAATCTGACGACGTGTGTTGGCCCAATGTATCTCTCTCGGGTGTTAGCTCGATTAAGTCTCCAAAACAGGTAGTCCTCGTCAAGGTCGACCTACAAATATACTAGCCTCTCCATGAGTCAGTCAAGGTCGGGGTGGGTCTGTTCGATAGTGCTTTCTGAGTCCCCTCATCCCTTCAATAAGTTAGGGGCCAGATGCGCTCTTTGGGGCTCGAACCAAATCAATTTTTCCTAGTGTGCCATGTCCTACAACACAGGAAAACTTAGCCTACCCAATATTTATTTAAATCATGTTGGACACAATATTTTATTTATTTATTTTATATTATGACAGTATATATATACTTTTCTTAAGTGTGTAACTTATATCTTACACTTACGCCTTTTTGTTTGTTGTCCTGTTTTATGTTTACATC